CCGCCGCCGCCGCCGCCGCCGCCGCCGCCACCGCCGCCGCCGCCACCACCACCGCCGCCATCACCACCACCATCACACCATCACCACCACCAGCGGCAAGAGCAGCAGGCACCAGCACCTCCGCGGAGGTCGCACGGCTGCTGGCCCTCGGCGCGTTAGTAGTGCCCGGGACAGACAGTCGATCGCGCACACGGAGGGTGCGGGTCGTCCTGGGGGTTGGTTGTCGGTTGTCGCGGGTTTGGCCGGTCGGTCGGTTTTGTTGGTTCGGCAGTCTCGCTCTCGCATGCAGACCGCCCGCGACCGTGCGTCGTCGCGTCGCCTCGCGATTCAACAGCTGGTAGAAGAAGGTGCTCGGGTGAGGAGAATGTCGGAGGATGCCTGAGGCGGCAAACATCTATCGCCCGCTCTATCGCGGCCTGACGACGCTCCGGGCGATCTGGACCGCGTTCGGCTCTACGTAATCGGGAACGCGTTCCCCGCGGGCATTCGGCGCCGTTCTCAAACGTAAAGTCAACTACTACGGACTACTCCCGAGCGTAATGCGAGCCGCGTCGAATGGATCGAAACGCTACGTGTGGTTGGTGCGTGTGGTGCCGGAGCGATAGAATTGAAATTATCTGGACCGATACGGAAGTTATCTGACCGAGAGTACGGAGTGAACCCCCCCCCCCATTATGCACTATGTGATACGACGAGGCGACCCTAGATAAGGAGTTGGATGTTTTTCGGTGCGTCCCTCGCCGCTTTTCAGGATATAAATTCAGGATACGACGGTTTCTGATCGATGATTAAGCTAGACGAGTAACATTTCAGTAAAAAGTACGAACATATTCTTTATCAAATAACCGCATTGAGTTGTTTTTGTAAGCTTTATTTTTCTGGCTATTTGACAATTTACGAAACATATGGCGTATTGAAACAGCATCGATGATAGCTCAGAGATTTGAAGAAATCCATGTATTTGTTTTCGATCAATATGAGTTTGTGACGTATACGTACGTTTGCGGGAAATGATAAAATTATACCAACAATAACTATGCCATAGACTTTCATTAATTGTTCAAATGATATGGACGAGAATATATCGTAATTCTTAATATTTCCAGAATTTATAGATTATTTTTTTAAAGATCGAATATTCAGGAAACTATTGATTATGAATTAAATAAATATTTTATAAAATATTAATTATTTACAAAAAGTATAAATAGTTGTTTAAGTAATTTTTTACTAGTTTATTTTATAAAATATACAAACTGTATTTTTGTTATCTCAATCTCTTATTTAATTGAATCTTTTTCAATCGGATAATCAGTATAATTCTTGAATCTACGTAACATTTTGTGATAACATTTACATTAATGTATTAAGTTAAAATTAAATTGAAATTAAAATAGACAGACAGATATTAAGCAAAAATTTCTTATTACGTATAAAAATTCGCAAGTAATAACATTAGATTATTTTAATTATTTTTTGATACTTTGTTAATTCTTTGTTACGTAAAATTTGAAATAACTGGATAATAAATCCAGTAACAAGATTGCATTTTACGAATACATTTTTCAAATCTTTAATCTTTAATCTCGAATGTTAGTATTCTCTCCCTTGAGAAGTTTTATTGAATTCTTCATCCTTCTCTATTTCCAATATATATTTAAATTCTCGGTTAGATCTCGCGTCAATTAAAATTGTCACATAAAGCTCGGACATAAGGGGATTTGAGAGAGGGAGAGCGATTGCGAAACTAATCTTCAATTTCGAAGATTGGGGGATCCCGTAATTTTGCAAAATGGATCACCATCAATTCTCTTTGACTCATCCATTTCTTGCAGGATGCGCTCTCGTTGATCCGTGCAAAAATGTCACGCCGGCACTCGCGCAATTTCCGCGATAATATATCGGCGTTTTTCGCGAAGGATCCGTTTTCCTTCTTTCACATTGCCGTTGCTGCCTCGATAATTCCTCGTAGATTCTCTCCTCCCATGGATCCGGAAACTTCCAACTTATCGCACTCGTCGGTGAATTATTAATCGTCCGATTATCCCCGCCCTCTCCCCCCCCCCCGCCCTCCCCGCCGCGCAATTAGCGCGAGCTCTG